ACTAGATCCCGGAAATTTAGTTAGTGCCCTTATTAGCTATCGCCTAGCTAAGCAATTAGACCTTCGACAGCTGCCTAGGACTAACCTGCTAACCCTTGCTTGGTTTAATAACGCTCGGCACTTAACCTACGGAGCCTACTATGTCTATATAGCCCTAAGAGACGACCTCGGCAATGAGCGCCTACTAAACTTCACTGCCTACGCGGTAGACATAGACAGCCTCCTATCCGACATTGTTATTAGGAACCCTATTCTTAAGTACTATGCGGTAGTTATAGACTTAGGCAGTTAATAATAGCGATTTGGAATCGCTAGGAAAGAGGACATTAAACACATCGACATTAGCGAGTGTCCTAATAATATTAGGGTCCTGTTTATTAGCAACCTAACTCCCGCCTTAGCTAATCTAACTACCGACCTGCTCGGTAGTAATAACGATGAACTAGTGCCCCCTAATAGCATAGATCCTAAACAGCTTAAGCGTATACTAGAACCTATTCGAGAGACCTATATTAATATGTTTAAACACTACTTAGCATCGACATTGCCTATATTTAAAGAGACGGATTATAAGATTAATATTATAGAGGGCAAAGAGGTCCCTTTTGGACCCCTCTACAACCTTAGTAAACGAGAGCTTGCTATATTGCGTAAGTACCTAGAGGAAAACCTAGCTAATAGCCGGATACGGTATAGTAACAGCCCTGCTAGTGCCCCTATCCTGTTCGTACTAAAGAAGGATAGTAGCCTGCGCCTCTATGTCGATTATCGTAGGCTTAATGCTGTTACTATTAAAGATCGCTATCTACTTCCTCTTATTAATAAGACCCTCGATCGCCTTTCTAGTACCTACTACTATACTATATTAGACATTAAGGATACATACTATCGCATCCGCATCCGTAAGGGTAATAAATAGAAAACAGCCTTCCGTACCCGCTATAGCTATTTCGAGTATCTAGTTATGCTATTTAGGCTAGCAAACGCCCCTGCAATATTCTAGTCCTATATCAATCGGGCCCTATTAGGCCTATTAGATCACCTCTGTATAGTTTACCTAGATAACATCCTAGTTTATATACACTCTCCTAACATTGCGGAACACTAGGCTACAGTCCGTAAGGTACTCGATCGCCTAAGGGCTTATAGCTTGTATTGCAAGCCTTCTAAATGTACCTTTGCTGCTAAAGAGGTATCATTCCTCGGCTTCCTCGTATTAACTAAGGGTGTTAAGGCTAATCCTAAACGGATTAAAACTATTACTAAATAGCCTGTTCCTACGTTAATTAAGGAGCTACAGTCGTTCCTCGGTTTTGCTAACTTCTATCGCCGATTTATTAAGGGCTATTTACGGCATGTAATGCCCCTAACTAAGCTTACTAAAACTAAGGCTAACCCGACTAGGGAGTTCAAATAGACTAACAAGGCGCGAGCCGCTTTTAACGGTTTGAAGCAGCGCTTTACTAAAGTCCCCTTATTGCACTATTTCGTACTAAGCAAACAGATCCGCATTAAGACTAACGCTTTACAGTTTGCTATATTAGCTATTATGTTACAATAGGCTAATAACAATTACTAGCACCCGATTGCCTTCTTCTCGAGGAAGATAATCGATGCTAAGCGTCGCTACGAGACCTACGAGTAAGAGCTCTTAGCTATTGTCGAGGCCTTTAAGCATTAGAGGCATTACCTCGATAGGGCCTAATATACGATACAGGTCTATATAGACTATAACAACCTCCGTAGCATTACTAAGGTTACTAGAGTTATAGGTCGATAGGCTAGATAGGCCGTCTACCTCGCTAGGTTTGATTTTAATGTATTATATCGGCTAGGCGTAAGCAACCCTACTAATAGCCTATCGAGGCGACCTAATTACGATAGCGGGACTTAGCAATCCATTAATTTATTGTTTCCAACCCTATAGCATAAGATTGCTATAGCCCGTATTGTTAATAAGTAAGCGTAGGATAAGCGGCTTACCGGACTCCGCGACGGCTTGAAGTATGTTAATGCTCTTACTATATTAATAGTGCGTATTAAGGCAAGGGCTAAGGATACAGATAGGAGAAGTTATAATAACTCCCTAGTCGACATCGTAATATATAGTAATAGCGATAGCACTAATATAGTTAATCCGGCTACTAGTGCTATTAGATGCATATAATACGTACCTCGTTTAATAGCGAGGGTACTATTAAATAACCTTGCAAATAGGGATAGTTAATCGTTTATAGATAAGCTGTTACGGGCTTAGCAGAGGGACGCCTTTGCTACTAAACGTATAGACAAGCTTGTAAGTAGGCGAAAGACTCGATCTAGTAAGAGTAACAACTAGTCGATCGATAACAAAGGTTATTTGAAGTTTAAGGGTAGATACTATGTCTCCGCTAAACATTCGATCCGATAAGAGCTTCTTAAGCGACACTATAATAGTAAGCTTGCCGGTTACTATAGTATAGAGAGGTCGCACGAGCTACTATCGCGCACATACTACTAGCTAAATAGTAAGCGGGATATAAAGGACTACGTAAACACGTGTGCCGTATATTAACGAGTTAAAGCCCTAAAGCACTTACTATTTAGCGAGTTGTCTTTACTCCCTATTCTAAAGAAGCCATTTGCTAAGCTTATAATAGATTTCATTACAGGCCTTCCGCCTGCTAAGCGTAGAGGAAGCAAGGATATGTATAATGCTATCCTAGTTGTCGTAGACCGGTTCACTAAGGGCGCTCGTTACATTCCTGCTTGAAAGGATTGGACGGCTATTGACCTAGCTAAGGCGCTATAGACTAACATCTTCTATACCTATTAGGGAACCCCTAAGGGGATAGTCTCCGATAGGGGCTCGATATTCATATCGCACTATTAGAGCGAAATATGCCTATAGCTAAGACTAAAGCATCGGCTATTAATAGCCTTCTATCTATAGGCTAACGGTCAAACAGAGAGACAGAATGCTACCCTGTAGTAGTACCTGCGTAGCTATATCAATAAGAACCCTAACGACTAGGTCAACCTCCTATAACTAGCCGAATTCGTATATAATAACAGTATCTACTCATCCACTAAGGTGTTACCTTATTTCGCTATAATAGGCTAAAACGCTGCTATACTATAAGACCCCTTATCGCTCGAGGCCGAGCGTAAGGAAAGGGAAGCGGGTTAAGGTTAATCTGAAACACTAGCGGCTATTAAGAGGGTTTAAAAGATGCGAGAAATTCACGCTAAGATAGCTAACAAACTAGCAAAGGCCTAGGCCTATTAGAAGGCCTACTATAACAAATACCACCTTCTAATAACCTTTAAGCAAGGCGACCTAGTTATACTTAGCACGAAGAACCTCCGTATCCGCAAACACCCCTCGCCTAATAGCAAAACAAGGCCTAAACTCGCACTAAGGTACATTAGCCCTTTCCGTATCCGAGAACCTAGGGGCACCTAGGCCTATTAGTTATAGCTTCTACCTTATTACACTATTTATAACACCTTCTATATATCCCTCCTTAAGCCGTACTATCTACGCGAAGGGGATAAAGCACCTGCTAAATCCGAGGATATACTAGCTAATAGTAAAGAACTATAGTCTATAGAACGTATCCTAAAGCACCGGACTAGACAAGGCAAGAAGGAGTACCTATTAAGGTAGTAAGGCTATTCGCCTAAATAGGACTCGTAGGAAGCTAAAGGTTCTTTTAAAGATATAACTAAGTTGTTAGATAAGTATTAGACTAGTGTGAAGAATAAGAAGAAGGCTAAGGGCCTATAATGTCGCCTAGGAATAATGCTACCTCCGGGGTGCTATTAGCTAACTAATTAGAGGCAATTAATTGTTAGTAACAAAGGATAACAAGACTATACTAGGCGCGCCACGACGCGTTAACTAATTACCTACTCTTTTAAGGACTCTACCTCTTTACTAACGTGCCCTTTAGGTCCCCCTCTTGTTCCCTTATTCTATCGAGGCCTTAAGGCCTAGGCAATCGGCGAGGACGGCGCGGCCGGCGCGGCTATATTAGTAACGGTATTGCGGGGTATGTTATTAGTTAAGGAAGAAAATTAGAAGCAAGGTAAAGTTGGCGCCAAGACGGCTAGCGCCGCTATTATTAACATTACTTACTATTGCCGCTACGCCGTAGGTATAACCTTACCTATACTACGAGCCTAAGGCACTATACTAACTAAGTTAAAAGATTGAGCCTATTAAAGGTTTAATCAAAACTTTAAGGCTAAGTTAAAATATTAAGGCTTAAAAGGATTAAGTAGCTTAATAGACTAACTAACTAAGGGCAAAACTATAGAGCTAAGCTAGCCGGGGTCGATCTTGCGGACAATAGGTTACTCCTCGATCTATCTAACCCTTTAAGCGAGGCGAACCTCTACTACTATACTTATAATAGCCTTTACCTATAGAAACTAGACGAGCTGTGTTTTTTCTAAAAAGATAAGATAAGATTAACAATTAAAGGCTACTAAACCTAACTAATTAGGGCTAGCGAAACTACGAACAATAATAGCCCTCGTAATAATAAGAACAAACCCTCGGAAGTAGACAACCCTCGGAAGCGGACATAGCTAGGTCTTTTAGAGTAGACGCAAAGAACTCGGTACGATATTACGTAGAACGGGGGCAGTGCTATAATACCCCGTATACCTACCTATTATAGTAGGGAAGGTACGCTCGTATTGTAATTAGTCGATAGTCCTTAATTCTCGTAGTTATATATCACTTTATTATATATAAGGATAGCGCAGCTAGAGTTAGATATTATATTATATTAGAGGTAAGGTTTAATATAGTTATATAATCGGTGATTGCGTATTCAATTTAGCGCGGACTAAGAAGCTTGCTAGACCTACTAAGTTAGTAGCGACAGAGGTTGAGAATAGTATATAAACCGGCCGCGAGGGCGCGGCCTTTAGAAGGGAAGCGTGTATTAGGACTAAAGAGGTTACACGTGATTGGTATATAACTAGGCTCGAGTGAAGCTAGGGTCTCGATGCCTCAGGCAGGGCTTGGCGCTTGGCGTTGGGCTAACTGGCCTGCCTTCCTCCCTCTCCTCTTAGATCTCTATCGAATACTATACTGATTTACTACTACCCTATCTACCTACTAATATAACCCTTCTTACAATAGAAGACATTGTGTTTGTTTAATTGCTCTGTTATAATAGCCTGAAAGTAGTCTAGTTGTTTCTATACCTAATACCCCTTTGTTTGCTTTACTAGTTTGTTTGTTTGGCTGTATGCACGCGATAAGGGGGTGACTTGAAGAGTGTGTGTGTAGGCTATCACGTGCATGATGCCTAAGGCTGCAACTGTGCACACTTCATCTTTGGGCTTTCTATAGATTAGCCCTCTTCTAAATATATCACAGTTTACATCAAGTAAATCCAGCCCGACTAAATTCAATCAAATTCAATGAGGTCCAAGGTCTGCTCTGCTACTGTCTCTATCGTATTCTTGAAATCAGCAAAACCCTAGTAATCTTCTTCTCAAAGGAGAGCCCGAATATCAGCCCGAGCATGGCAAAATGTGACCTAGAAGCATCATCCACGAGTCTTCGCTGCTTTCCGGCCCTCAATAATCAGAGCAGTTAAAGCCACTAACCAATGAGAATTTTCGTACTCGAGAATCTCGCCAACTGCATTAACGTCGGCCAGAAACTTTCAGTACGCTTTGCTTGGCTTCTCCATGTCGCCGACCTTGTTGATGAAGTCGGTAAATCTAGTCAGGGAATATTCCTATCCGTCGTCCTTGCAGTGAAAGCTGGTGAATCTCATCAAATGGCTCGCCGGTGCGAACTTGGTTCCCGTCGAGTCGGACGGCTGAGCTCACGGCAGAGCAAGTGCTTCGGCGGCGAATGTGGAAAGAGTAATCAATTGCATATTGGTTGGACTTGATCGTGACTGTCTACTCCTCTGTATTGCTTACATTCGATCAAAGCGAATCAGAAGTATGGCTGACAAGCGCAGTCCCTTCAAGCCAAGCTCAGGCTGTCATCAGGAGTGAGTCACCTTCGAAGGCTTGGCAGCCCAAAAACTCGATGAGTCTGTACATGCACCAGATATTCTGGGATTGCCAGCCCAGTAGTTTAGGGGTAGAACGTGGAGCTTCTATACTTCGGTGACTCCAAGGCCAGAGTTCGATTCTCTGCTGGGCTATTTTTTTTCCGCTTTTTGGCATGAGCTTTCTTTCGTCTAGATGACTTGGCTGAGAAACCGAAAACGCCTGCGCGAGATATGAACTCAATGACATGCTGCGGCTTACTGCCTCAATTTTTGCAGACAAATGCAGAGCTCGTCTTGTACCCAGACATTCCACTCAGCCCTCGAATTGCCGAATGGATACGGCTTTCCGCTCATGTTGGGCAGGTCCTGATCGGTGGGAATTTACGTCTTCTTCCACAGTCCTGTCCACGTCAGCGACTCGAGGTGAGCGGCACGGACGAATGTACTTTACATCATCGCCTGGAAGCCAAGAGATATGCCCACGACTCCAAGTCGCATAGTACCCTGATCCCAATCTCCTCATCACCTCGCCGGAACCTTTCGTCCAAGACTTCTCGCCCTCAAGCCGACGAGTCACTCTCCACAACATCCCAAACAATCTCCCCACCACCAGTCTTCCTCGCCATCCGCAACACACCAGGCCTGAGCTCAAACCCCCAAATCCTATAAAAAGATTCCCTCTGACGTCTCAGCCGCTCCCGCTTGCCATCATCCGTCACATACGCCGTGAAATCCCAAAACCTGATCTCCCTGACCAAAGGCAGATACCAAGCTAGGCCATCACGGTCGTTCTTGTCTCGTAGAAAACCAATCACGTCGAGGGAGAATTCTGCTTTGAAAGTGTTGGATTTGTAGTACCTGAACGCAAGGGATTGGGTTAGCGATATTAGATGGGTGAGGATTAGAGGTAGGTGTGCTTACATCTCTCGAGTCTCTGAGTAAAGCTGGCGACAAGATTGGACGAGGCCGAGATTCGATCTCTGCCATTTGTTTGGATATTTCTTGTCTTTTGAGAGCTCGATGACGTTGGTGAAGACGTATTCAGAGATCATGTCGCGTAGCTCCTGCGGGATGCCGAGGATAGATGCCTTCTTTGGCGGTTTCGGGTTGCTTGGTGCGGTGATCGGCCGGTTGGTAAGAGTATCCGCCTCTTTCTGCTCCCTTAAACCCTCATTCGAGATCTCGAAGGCGCACTCGAAGGTGTAACTGACTCGGTCGGCTGTTCTTACGACTAAGGTTGGTCGATAGGGATTAGATGCCCTGGTAGCATCTGGCGTTTTGCCACCCATCTTGGCGTCTCCAGCGTTTGGGATAGGAAGAACAGGAAAGTCTGATCATGGGGGTCGAAAGAAAAAGCTGCGCCATGGAGTTGCCTAGACAGATTCGCGCTAGTGGAGCTTTGACCTCTTTAGCTGCGCCTAGTGAGTGAATGTTGTTACAGCTCTTGCACGAGGAAATTTCATGCATGCGAATTAACGAAGTTCCATTCTGTCTGAACCAGACTACAGACTGTAGGAGTGAGTGCGGATCTAGTTCCTATACTTGTGGGAAGCGGAAGTAAGCTAGCAGCGAATTTTTCCGACCGGTGATTTGATTCGAATATGAGATGTATATAGTTCGGGCGATCAGCAATGTATTTGTTCGGATGATGATCTTGCTAAAGCTGTGCAAACACAGTGTTAGGTTGTAGATAGCGGACTACCAGCTTTTACTAGGCTTGTGGTGCCTGGATGCAGGGACGTTGAGACTGTTGTGTGGAAATGCGGAAGAGCGATAGCATGACTTCATCGCTCCACGACTGTCTTGCAGGAGGGAGATGCTGCATTCCGCATCAATCAGGGTAGCTTAGGTCTTTGCTTCGTTGGTACTTATTTGACAAGAGAGTTATCTCGATGGATGCCGCGAGGGCTGTACTTCCTCCACCACGTCAACTTATGTCGAACGTTATGTAAGTGAGACCTAGGAAGCAGACTCCGAATCTACTCACAATTCAACCACCTTACCACCGCCGACCTTTGTCGTGATATCCTTTGGCCGTCCTTTGCGATCAACCCTCTCATCCCTCGGGTCGAAGCCACCATTACCCCAAAGCGCCCATTCCGGCGTAGCCTCGCCAACGTAATCTTCTGGCGCGAAAGGTTTGCCACTCTCGAGGCATCGGAAGAAAGCCGGGTAGTCGATGATAGTATGCCAACGCTTGATGCCATCTACCATACTCGCCTTGAAGAAGCGATTTCTGTCGGCGAGCAGGATGCAACAAGAATGCGCATGCTCGGCGGCGATGCCATACTCTAGGCCTCTTTGGTTGAGCTCCTTTTCTAGTGCTACCACGAAAGCGGCAACTTCTTCGTAAAAAGGTACGTTCTGCATGCTGAGTCCAGCTCCGGCTGCTGTGGAAGTGCCGCAGTAGGTCACGCCTTTGACTTCTACGAAGCCGGGTAGTGCTCGTTCGACGAGGTCAGCGTAGCCTTTCGCTTCTTCGTCTACGTTGAAGCCTTTGACTAGTGTCAATCGGAAGACAGTGCGATGTGTGAAGCGCTTCTCCCGCAAAATGTCCATGCAGCGGATGAAGCGTTCCCAGAAGTCGCGATGAAGTGGTCGGTCGATCTTGCGGAGGGTCTCTTTGTTTGAGGCATCGATCGAGACGTATAGCTGGGTCACTGGGCCGAGTGTGGCTAATTGGTCAGGATGCTGAGCATTGCACACTAGGAAGGAAGATATGTGCTCTGCGTGTAACATGGCAAGCAGCTGGTTAATGTGAGGATAGAAGATTGGTTCGCCAACCAATGACAGAGCACAATGTCGAATGCGCATAGCTTCCGCAAATCGCTCAGCACGCACTCCTGGCACACCTCTCATCTGCTTGATTTTCTGGTAGTGGCCAGCTTTGATGCCGTCAAAGATGAGATCGGGCTCGTCCACCTGCCATCGCCAAGTCGTGCCAACAGGATTGGTGCCATGTCGCCAGCAGAAGACGCATTTGTTGCTGCATGAGAGTGACGGTGTGGCTTCCATGCATTGGTGTGAGTTGATGCCGTAGAAGGAGAATTTGTAGCACGAGCCGCGACCACGGAGGGCCGACTTGGTCCATCGACACGTCTTGACGCCGGAATGTGTGCCCACAATAGTGTAGCCTTGCTTTGTGAGAGATGTGTAGGTGGGGGAGGTGACAGGTACCATTGCCTTTGGTTCTGCAGGCGAGCCAGACTTCTTGCTTGTGGTAGTGAAGTCCACAGGAATTGGTGCTTTCATGTCTTCGAGATCAGCTGCATCGCCTTTACGTGGGACCAGAGTCTCCCCTTCATCGCCATCGTCTGCCTCATCGCCGCTTTCTAGAGCTTCTCCGCTCCCTGGTGCGCCTTCTCCCAGACCTTTGCCCTCGCTTAGATCTTGCATGATGTTTTGCACACCTCTTGACCACTCTTCTAGCCGTAGTTCCAGGTCGTCTCCCTTCGCATCTCCTTGGCCCAGGGGAAAGGCCCTCTTTCGGGCTGTCAGCTTCGCCATCCATCTGTCAATCTCAATTGCCTGAGTGCAATATCCCTGCTCTTCAGTCGGCCACTCTACACGGTCTCCAATGCCAAACACGCTGTAACCTGCCAAGGCAGACAGTGGAGCCGTGTCGATTCGGAAGTCATGATGAGTCTCTTTCAGATGATCGATAAAGTTTGTGAGCTCGGTATCGATGTTATAGCTTGGGATGAGGATGGTATAGAAGGCGGCTGTGGAAGAGGATTCTTGTTTGGGAGGAGAAATGAAGAAGTCGTCGTAGTCGATGTCGGTCAGGTCATATACTACTGGGGGTAGTATCTTCGCTTGTCCAGGCAAATTCGAGGCCAGAGTCTCGGCATATGCTCTTGTGGATCCGCCCAGAGAGAAGTAAAAGACATATGGCTGTATGCGATCGAATGCTGGTGCTTCATTCTGCTTGGCCTTCACACTGCGGATTCCCTTGACTCTTTTCGGGCCCTTCGCCTTGGTCTGGATCTTGACTTGTGCTTCATCTCGGACTGCCGCTTTCTCGACACGTTGCGTCTCGGGAAATGCCTTGGCCTTTTTCTCGTCTACTGGGGAGGCCAATGGAGTGAGGACTACTTCGGCTTTCCTCCTTCTCCAGTGCAGAGCCAAGCGCACGATGGCCAGCAGCACTCCCGCCGAGAGGATGACTTCCGCTCTGTGAGCATGCCAGAGCAGCAGCAGTTCTTCCGGCAGCTGCAATATGCTGGACTGCTCCATCTTCGCCGCGATGTGTGCCAGGTCGCAAGAGTCAATACGGTCAATCAATATTTGATTGCCCGCATTAGTCAGCATCAACCGCAGCTACCTACCCTGTCGACCATGTTGTCACACGTCAACAGTCAAGTGCGTTCCTACAACATCATCGACATCGACATCCTCCCTTACACATAGGGGCCTCGCATCGACCATGTAAACAGATCGCAGCCAGCACGCTTAATAGCATCTACATACGCCAGATATACCACCACGATGCTGTCCCCAGACTTATCGCAACACTGCATTCCTCTCCAGCATCCCCACTGGTTTCCCGTCACTCTCGCCGGATCTCTGGTGGCCGGGATCCTGGTGTCATATCTGCCACAGCACGTCAGGATTCTCAGGAGGCAGAGTAGCGAGGGTCTCTCGCCATGGTGGGTGTTGCTCGGCGGACTCAGCAGCATCGCGGCTATGGGAAACATCGTCACCTTGCCCACCAGCCGCGCCGACATGCTCTGCTGTAGGGAGCTGGCCGGAGGACCATGTGCTGCTGCCCTTCTCGGAGTAGCACAGATCGCAGTGCAGTGGTCCTGCTTCATGATCATGTGAGTGTTGCCAGCCAGCCTGCTACACTACGAATCCGCTAACATCGTCAGCGTCATACTGTTCGTCGCCTACGCTCCCACTACGCCCCAAGAACCAGAGGACATGAGCGCCTCTGCCGCCTCCATCACACAAACGGATCCAGCGAAACGCCGAGACGCGCCCCTCGTTGGTATCATCATCTTCGTATCCCTTCTCATCGTCGCTCTCATCTCCCTCGTTCTCATCCTCGCCCATCCCGACTACACCCAAGCCTGGGCAGACATTCTGGGCACCATCTCAGGTGTGCTCGCAGCCATACAATACGTGCCTCAGATATACTTCACTTGGAAATTGAAGGATCTCAAGAGCTTGTCGGTCGTCACACTTGTGATTCAAGCCCCTGGCGCATTTGTCTTTGCCTTGTCCCTTGGCCTCCGAGTGGGCTGGGAAGGCTGGAGTACGTGGCTGGTATACATTGTGACGGGCTTGTTGCAATTCGTTCTCTTGTTCATGGCTGTCAACTTCTGGTCAGTGGAGAGGCTTCGGAGGCGTGCAGCAGAAACCTATGACAGCAGCACCGAATGTGACAGCGATCAGACTATTCACGCTGATGAAGACAATACGGCTGCGAATGGTGCTGCAAACGAGCGCACCACACTTCTTCCCAAGACCAATCAGAGACAGAAAGCACATGGTGGCGCAAGGCGACATTCTTAGGAGGACGAGGACGAGGAGCCACTATCAACATCTCCGCCAGAGGCTCGGGAGGCACTCTGGTTCTTCGCTTGTTCCTTGCTAGCAGCGTCTGCGCTTCTGCGTTACACCACCCAACTTGCGTCTCTTGTCGTTCGCGTACTCACAACATGCGCAAGTTGCGTTGTCTGTCTGTGGCAATTCACGATTCGACAGGTGGAACGTGCACTGCGCTGCCTGACGTTCGCTACTTTTCCTAGACATCCGCGCACATCTGATTACATCAGCTTCCCACCGCCCGATGTCCACCCGAGACGAAGACGAAATCGCAGACCTGCACCCACGAGCTCAAGCAACAGGTCAACCACGGGTCGCTTCATCCTCGACATTGAATCCGTCCGACGGCATGGTGGTTATGCTTCACGACCAACAGCACCGGGCTTCGTGTGTCCTGAGTCTTGCCCAATCTGCATGAGCCTGCGCTGCCGAGATGCAACCCCCGTCTCAAGGCCCAGAGCGCAGCCGCGAGATCAACCGCCTTCAGTGTCTTCAGCAGGTAGCCGAAGCGCTCCTCCGGTTAGAATTCGTCCTTTAGATCAACGCCGAGACACAGAGCGTATGAGGAATTACATAGGATGCCCTAGCCTCAGTCAACTCTCGCAAGACGAAATTGTCGGCTTGGCCCATGTGCGGCGCCCGGCTGCTTATGGACCTCGGCGCCGGTCAGAGCAGCCAGTAGAATCAGAGAGAATGCCAAAAGGCCTCAGTCAAAACCATCAAATGCGTCACGACAGTGCTGGGGCAGACGATAACGATGAAGCCCCTTCGAAGCTCGCCGAAAACGGGTCAATGCGGGCTTCGCGCAGAAGGATGCCTCGCAGCGGTCGGCGCTCACTGGAAGAGCGTGCAGCCAGGGGAACTCAACACCACATCAGAAATATGGACTTCGGCCCAGAGCAACCTGGCGTTGTGTATCGAATGATGGATAGCTTCAAGCGACTTCACTTTGCTCGACCTCGTCTGCCTTCGATGTGGAGACATGCTCCAAATTCAGCGGGCCCTGATCTCGAACAACAATCCCTACTTCCTCAATCGCAAGACGAACCCTCACCACGGGACGCATCTAATGCGGAACACACAATTCGCAGTGCAAGTCCAAAAGGCAGTAAATGCAAGGAGCCTCAGGACGCTGGATCCTCATCGCACAAAGTCGGTCAGCAAGGCACAAGCGCTCGTTCTGGATGCCGATCGACATGCGATGCTTCTGGAATGGCTCCAACGATGACTAACTCTACGCCGCATGGCGGCCTAGACGACGGAGTGGCCTTGGATGAAGAGGACAATTCCGTGCAACAGAAGAAGAATGAAGCGCCTCGCGATAGTGCCCAAAATGCAGCTTCCAAAAGCAAAGATAGTAGACGCCACCGACCTCAAGAACCCCTGATCGATGGCAGCACTGACGAGCCGGCAATTTCTCCCGCCGCCACAACACCATCGATGCTAGTACCAGCTCCGAACACTATCCTCAGACCTCGAATCCACCACCCTCCAGCTCGTGGAGTGCCAGAACTAAGATACGAAAGCCCAAGCGTACCAGACTGGCGAGGAGCCCATGCCTACTCACACGGTACACCAGACATGGTCCGACGTAATCGAGAACGCTTCGATTCCTCAGGATTAACATCGTCTGACCCCGGATTAACGTCTGACCCCGGGTTAACGTCTGATGATAGTTCGTCGCAAGGATACGTTACTGCTTATAGTAGCTTGAACACATCAGAGGCCTCTCTGCGCCCTGAATACCTCAATGAGACACCTCCTGTGCCACCGCTTGCTGGCGAGCACGACTTATCTCAATCGCCGAACACAGAGGCACTACGTACCCATGGTCATAGCTTCTCTGAGATCTCAAGCCTTACAGACGGCACATTTCAATTGAACCGCGGTCGATCTCTTTCAGCGCGTCCACAAAGGCCTCTCGATGGAACTGCAGACCAGGAAGATGACTGCATTCGTGACACGCAATCTGTCTTCTCCACTGCTGAGGACGACCGGCTGCTGATGAGCGGCGCACTGGATGGCATGCAAGGTCGAGAGCCCGCTGCAAGAATCCCTATTTGCGTTCCCGATTCATTCACTGATAACGTTTGGCTGAACGAGACAGCGACGAGGGAGAGCAATAATGTCCCCACACCGGAACCACCTCCACCAGATCCTTTTGGCCCTGTCAGTATTGACGATTGGGCTGTGGAGCTACCGGTTCCGGAAGGACTGTACACGATTATGGAGAGGGAATACGAGGATGATAGTGAGGCTGAATTGGAAGACTTTCATCGTTGATACAATAGAAACTGTAAAAAGAAGGCTTTTGCTATATAGTGCATAGCGAGATATGAGATCAAACCACAGTCATTTTTGCATTTGTGTCTTGAGCACCCTGTCGAACACTTTGAGTGCGCTCAGCCGTGGTGTAGGTGTGAAGCTCTTGAGTGGCAGAATCGCCGGTCGCTCAGTGATTCGTGACTTCAAGCTGAGAACTGGTAGAAAATGGTTCAAGCATGAACAAAAGCTTGTTTCTAATCTTATGGAAGACTAGGCCATGCTTCACCACAACCGGCTCGATCAATGCCGTCGTCCCACGTTCTTCTAGTATCACTCCTTCTTCCCCGGATTCTGCTCAAAATTCATACTATACCCTCCCGTCTTCTCATCCTTCACAAACTGAAAATTCTCCGTACTCAGTCCAAAAGGCTTGAGTATCGAATTCCCCAACCCTTTCAGCTTCCCCATCATCTCCGCCATCTCCTTCTCCTTCGCCTTATTCAAACGCGGTGCCAGCTTTTGCGCACTTTCCGTCACAGTCCTCCGATCCGTAGGCGATAGACAAGGTAGTATTGTAGGACTGAGAAGTGTTCGATAGTCTTCATCTGCGCCTTGGAGAGATGACCAGCTTCCTATTTCTGTCCTGGCTTTTGCTCGTCGTAGGAGGAGTTTGATCTGTAGTTTGCGAACTTCATCTAGCGATCGCCCTGATTTCTGTAAATTCTCCATCCGCTCCGCCAAGTCATCGTCAACTTCTTCCACCCCATTTTCAATTTCTGTGCCTGCTGCGGCTTGTTTCTTCGAGTCTGGTTTGGCTACAGGAAGGGGTTCCAACCGCTCAAGATTTTCTATCCCTTTCTCGGCACTTTCTATCGCTTCTTTCCATTCTTGAAGTTTTATGTGGCATGCGGCGATGTTGGAACGCAGAACGGCGAGTTCGAAGTCGAGGTAATTGGGACAGGAGGAGAGGGCGAGGTCGTAGGTTTGGATGGCGTTTTCGTAGCTGCCGGTTCCGAAGAGTGAGTTGCCGGAGTTTTTGATTGAGTTGCTCTCGGCGAGGAGTTTTGCTTCTTCTTCGGGAGGGACACGTTCTATTGCGACTTTCTTGGGCGGCTTGTCGTCGTTTGTATTGTGGGTCTGTGCTGATTCCTTTCGTGGAGGCGGAGGAATGGCAGGTGTTGGATCGTTGTCATCTTCGGCGTGGAAGCTGTGGAAAGAGTCGTCTGAGTCGGAGTCGATCATGTTTGTGTGTTGCGTGTGGATCGTTTGCAGGGTCGAAAGAGGGAAGTGCAATAGAGTGAGATCATCGGAGATCAGTCCGTTGCTGAGGTAATCCTAGTTGCTATATACCTAGTAGTTTTAGTTCTATTGATCGAAGGGGGTGACCTCGACAATGACACTCGTAAGTACGAAGGATTCGTATGTGTTGCAATAGTACTCTTGAAGCTGTGCAGCCTACCTGGTGTGTTCGTCTCAGGGAAAATCACTCTTGTACAGTACGGGAAATGCTGTACTCAACTGTGCAGCAGACCGAGCCCGACACCGAAACCGAACGAAGTATACTGTCTCGCCGTCGCCATCTTCCTGACACCTTCTGACCTTCACCCTTCACCTCCCAAATATCGGCTGGACATTCGCAGTCCCCAATGGTATCTCCACGTCTACTTCCCCTCATTATGGCAGGCGAGCTGACGCGGCTCGCGGAGTACACTCTATATACATTTCCGGACCGAGGCTGGCTCGTCAAGAGTCCCTAGAATTGCGACATCTGCACGATCCGCAAGGTTGCCACTCCGTACAACCTATCACAGAAAGGGAGGGGAGTCAGGTAGATTATCGGCATCCCGGTATCAGGCCCGGAATGTTCTGCTTTGAAACCACATCCGCCTCCCAAGCGTAGAGGGTGTGCGAGTAGATTAGGTGATTCCTGCACGGCTTGAGCAATCTGCATTTCCTCTTCTGCGGACCATTCAGGCGTACATCATCAATGATTGAGGAACCCAAAAATCTCGGGATGTAGTTGACTTCCACACTTGCGTTGGATACACCTTTGACGCGGAATCACTCCTGGACACCTCGCCACACCAGCGAGCAGGATGGCGAATACTATTCGCGATTCCCAAGATGATAGGTCACCTCTGTTATCTTCGACTTCGAGCGCACTCTCGCGATACAAGACCATCGAGTATGTGGAGCGATACGAAGCTGAGCAAAACGACGCGAAGCTTTCACCTGCAGACGTAGAGGCAGATGTTGTACCAGAAACCTCCGTGCTGGGACGGAACTTAAGCTGGAATGGCGCATACATCTTGACCATATCGCGGGTCCTTGGCTCTGGCATATTCGCAACTCCAGGTGTCATCCTCGCCGCAGTCGGCTCTCCTGGGCTCTCTCTTGCACTTTGGTTAGTCGGAGCAGTACTAGCATACTTTAGCATGGCCATTATGCTCGAATATGGGTGTATGCTGCCGCGGTCTGGGGGCGAGAAGGTGTACCTGGAGTTCACGTACAGGAAGCCGAAATATCTGGTCACCATTTTGATCGCTACACAAGCCATCCTCTTTGGCTTGACTGTGAGCAACTGCATTGTTTTCGCACAGTACACGCTCTTTGCGTTTGGAGTGGATGGCACGGAGCTCCTCCGGAAAGCGCTAGCACTTGGACTACTTACGGCAATCACAGTAGTGCATACCTGTTTCATGAAGACTGGAATACGGATACAGAACTTCCTTGGCTGGATTAAGATCGTCCTGATTGTATTCATGATCTTCAGCGGCCTATTCGTGGTGTTTTTCAGGCATGATCAGCGAAGCACCGAGAACGTACACCTCGAAAAGCCGAGCACGGACAGCCTCGACTGGACATGGCATGGATTCTGGGCTGGAAGCATCTGGTCTTGGGGCGCCATCGCCACATCGATATTGAAAGTATTTTATTCATTTGCTGGTCTCAATAATGTCAACAATGTCCTGAATGAAGTCAAGGATCCAGTCCGTACGCTAAAGTCGGTCGCGGTCACAACTCTCGCCACTGCATGCGGTCTATATTTGCTGGTCAACGTTGCCTACTTCTTGGTCGTTCCACTCGAAGAGATCAAGACTAGCGGAGAGCTGGTTGCCGCTTTGTTTTTCGAACGAGTCTTTGGCGATGCTGTAGGTCGACAAATATTACCCATCATGGTCGCCATCAGTGCTGCTGGGAACGTGATGGTGGTCGTGTTTGCTTACGCACGACTGAAGCAAGAATTGGCCAGGACTGGTCTCATGCCATTCTCGAGATTCTTGTCTAGCAATGCGCCTTTCGGATCTCCGATCGGAGGTCTCATAATCCACTACATTCCAACCGCACTGGTCCTTGCCATTCCGCACGGCGATTTATACAGCTTTGTCTTGGAAGCTGAAGGCTACATCGCTCAGCTTCTCTCGGTTTTCATAGCAATTGGGCTTCTGCGCTTGCGTTGGAAGCGACCTGATCTGAACCGACCGTACAAAGCCTGGTTGCCTGGAGTCCTCATAAGACTGATCGTTGCTTTTGCTTTGATTGTGGCGCCCTTCTTCCCAAGCCAGGCTCAACGCGCCAAAGGTATACTTGGAAGCGCCGCGTATGCACTCATCGGCATATCTGTGTAAGTGCTGCATCATCTATCGTTTCGAAATAGCAGAGCTAATATGAAGCGTAGTCTGATATTTGGCATCATTTATTGGCACATCTACACCGTTGCTTGGCCTCGCTGGCGAGGCTATAGACTTGAGGATAAAACAGAAATTCTGAATGACGGCACGCCTATTACGAAGATTACGTATGTACCCATATGATTGGCGCTGGAAGAACATCAGGCGTATTATACACTGTTTCAGACCTCAGCCGTATTTCCTTCCATCTGTCAAGAGTGTGGTGCTTCATTATCACGCGCGTGCACCGTCGACGATTCGAGTTGGAGGAATCTGGAGCTGCCAATTGCCATTTCTAAGCAGCTCCAGCTGCAACACGCGGGGCCGGAGCTGGGTTGCGAGCTCGACATCCTTTCATATCAATCCGTACAACGTCACGCGGCTTTCTATGCAAGTCACACGTGGTAGAGGATTTTATCAAGCTCACATACTATAGCAAGCAGGGTGGCGTCAGACAATCATTGGCCATCTGCATTAAAAATGGCATGGGGACATAGCTGTACCAGATGGCGTGCTTTGCGGAGATACTAATCTGGCTGACATATGATCTGTCTTTTTCCGAGGTAGGCAGTGTATGCTGCCTGTCGTATACAAATACCTCTGTCCACCTAAGCCATTGGACTGGAGCCTCGCATCAATACATTGAACCAATACGATCTCGCCATGGCTACCGCAGCGGTCCAACAGCCTTCACAACACTCCTTTCACGACTTCAGACCATCCGGTCCCACGGTCGTCACCCAGGACAAGAAGGTTGAGAAGCACGATGTTCACACAACCTTGAACTTCCACAAAGACAACGAAGATGGCTCTCCGCCAAGACCAACCTTCGTAGGCAAGCCAGAGACCTACGAACGCCCTCTCGCCACGGAAAACGTCATCATCCACGACGTAACAGGCGACGAAGATAAATATACCCTTGACAGCCACGGCTTCCAATTCGTGCCCAGCGTGAGCGTCGAGAAAGACTTCCTAGACGAAGACCAAATCAAAAATCAATACTACAAAGAAGTCGACCAACTCCTCAAAGATGTGACTGGAGCATCCCGTACCTTCATCTTCGACCACACAATCCGTCGACAAGCCCAAGACACACGCGCCAAGAAATCTTCCGAGGAGAAGGAAGAGAAACCCCCAATCTCCCTCCGCGGCCCAGTCCGAAGAGTCCACATCGACCAATCCTACACCGCAGCATTATCCCGCGTTCCCTTCCACTTACCAAACGAAGCCGACACCCTTCTAAAAGGTCGAATCCAACTAATCAACGTCTGGCGACCGATCAAACCCGTGCTTCGTGATCCTTTAACTGTAGCTCAAGCGCAGACGGTCGAGGAGAAAGATCTCGTACCTGTGGGATTGATTTACGAGAAGAGGAAAGGTGAGACGTTGAGTGTTAGGTATGCCGAGAAGCAGAAATGGTTTTATAAGTACCATCAGAGTCCTGAGGAGGCGCTTTTGATCAAGTGTTTTGATAATCGAGCTGGGGTTGGGAGTGCGGAGAAGTATAGGGATAGGGCGAAGAGGGTGCCGCATAGTGCGTTTGAGGTTCCTGGGACGGAAGATCAGGAGGGGAGGGAGAGTATTGAGGTGAGGGCTTTGGTTTTTCATGAGGGGGATTATGAGTAGATTGGAAAATAAATGTAGCTGGGCGTTTCCCGGGGGAAAAAATGTATTTTTATTTTTTTTCTGCTGCTCTTGACCTTTATGATCAAACTAAATGGATTTTCGTCCTCCTGCTCGGAACTTGGTCTGCCATAGGTTCACCGGACATATTGGCTGAAGCCGTAACATATGCCACATCGACTCCATACGAATCAAACTGGACGATCAAAGCGACACAATCTCGAATGCTTTCGTAGCCAGTAAAAACAACCCCCGGCTGTTGTACAGTCTACTATCTGATGCGTTGATCTAGTGGCCGAGTGAGTCGCTGACAGGAAGCCGCGAAATTCGTGGTTCGTAGTGACTTGAAGTTTGCCCTTTGCTGTAGCTTCGGCTGTCCTTAGAGCCTACCTCCTCTCAGGCGCTCCGAGTATTGTATTAGCTACGTAATAAGACTAGACCGGATATAGACAGGTAGAAGGTACAGCGGAGCGCCTGAAGACAAACCGTTCTACCTGTATACAATTGCCCGAACAAAAAAACATGCTTTTTAGCTATATCTCTACAACTATGTATTTTGGTATTACATAATATATAAGATAGCTGTACGTTATAGTACGATCTAGAATCGCTTCTATACAAAATACTCGCTAATCCTAACGCTATAGGATATATTTTTGGTCTACTACGATAACTTGCCCGAACTTTTACATTTTTAAGCTTACCCTTAAGGGCAAGATAGCGGCAGTAACGCGATGGATTTTTAGTATAGAACATCGGAGGGCCGAGAACTTAGCGCGTAGAAGGGCCTCTAAGTGTTCGGTATATTGCGACAGTATAGTATTGTCGTATTATCGTAGGGGAGGGCAAAAGCTAGCTATTTGCGACGGTTTGTTTTTAGGCTTATAGGAGGAAGAACCCTTAGAGTACCTGAATTGATGCCTAGCCGTGCACCTGCCTAGCCAACCTAGTAGCCCACCTTCCATCGCGATTCTTCATCTACAAGCCTGTTAGGAGGTAGCTCAGAGCTACTATGTATCGGAAACCTATTCTCTCGCCTGCTACGCGGATGCTTGATATATCATAGTATGTACGCAGACTTGCTCATAAAGAATCGTTAGAGAGATGATCTAAAGTTAGGTCCTATCTCAGACAAAATAGCCCTCCTGAGCTCTAAACGTCAGCGCCAGCTCGTGGAACGATGGAGACCGCAGTAAGAGAAGAAGGATGTGAGATTCGGTTTGACATTCCTCTAGAGCTGCTGGAAATGATTTTCGATGCATGGGTTCCGACAGGACGCGATCGGGATATGACTATGCAACATCTCGCCAAAAGCCTCCTTTTCCTGCCCTTGGAGCTGCGAGAGATGATATACGACTATTGCATACCCGCCGCAGATGAACACAGAATCACAATTACCGATAAAGACTGAAAACGAAAAATCCCTCGCCGCTTTACGAGCCTCCAGTCTCCAAATATCTAGAGAGCTAGCGAATAGAGATAAGAGAGTAGCAACTGGCAAACCGACCCAAATTCATCGTTTCGCCAGAATCAACATGGACACCGCCCCCGGCACGCGCGTACAAGAAGTTCAAAGCTCTGGAAATCGAATTCGATACATACGACGCGCTGCCAGAAAATCTGGGTGTGCCCGGTAGCGATAATCACCAACATCTCCAGCTGCGAAAGATGTCGGAACGATTCGTGGACGGGATTCGGCGCTGCTACAGAGACAGCGAGCTCGACTGCATTGGAGTGAGCTTCAGAAAGAAAGAGCGAGGTCTTCAACCGGTGCTGGGGAAAACGTGAATGCGACTAGGAGGGCACTGTATTCCCTCGCGACAATGTGTCCCTATGACATGAAGAACCAATCCATGTCAGTCTTCGAATACTTGCTTCAAGGGATATGCAAGCGTCCGATTGCCAGGCGTTCTGTGGTCTGGCCTATCGGAGTGATGGATTGCGTGGATGACTGCTACGTCGAGCCAGACGACCTCTTTCCAGATCGCGAGAAATTCTGGGAGTATGACTTTATGGAGTCGTTGTGCGAGAGTCTAGAGCATTGGTTGAGGGGGGTGAGAATTGGTTCACTCCGTGAGATGGTTTTGAGCAGATGGGAAGAAGAGAGGAAAGGTATTCGAGAGCACCTTCCAGCTGCGTGGGCGATGTAATAAGGTCGCCATCATTCTCTCGACCAATTTCACCAGCAGCCAGCACGGGCCTCTGATGCCAACATTATAAGCTCCTGAGAGCGTCTGAGACTCGGAGTCAAGCCAGGTGATACAAGCGCTTGTTCCATGCACTTGGAGCGTACATGGACGAGATAGAGAGGGTGAAAGTCGTTGTCGCGGCGGTACTGCGAGAGTAATTTGTATTTTGTAAAGAATCAATTCCTGCTGTCGGCGAACCCATCAGTGCTAAAGTTTCAACAGGATCAGTGATGAGTGGCCCGCCGTATATTTGAACCAGCCGAAACAAAAATGAGAAATCTCCCTCGACGTCTTCTAGCTTCCACCAGGATTTGGCCAGTGCGAGTTGTGACCGTCTGCGCCCATGTATGCATCGAAGCCACCCTGAGGGTTGTAGATCATGCTATGACTACCTGCTGCATAATCGGTTATGCCAAAATTGTGCATCGGGGGTGAGTTATAGATCATGCCGTTTCCATTCAGTGCACCTCGTTGTGGACAAGGGGACGGTAGCGTTTGGTCAAATCCTTGGGGCAGTCGACTTGGTCTCGCGACTCCTGCTAGACTGGCGGTGAATGTGGCGGAGTTCTGATGTGAAAGGTCAAGGCCGTCACATTTTTAGGCAAAAGAAGTCCGAGCATAGACATGTCGGTGGCTGGTGCGCTACATGTGCTGATGCTTGGCGTAATGGCTGGCTGTGGGGGAAACATGTTCGCAGCAGCAAAATCCAGATCTGCGACAGAGTTCAACGATAAAGTGGCGGGCATGTTTGTGGGCGTAGGAGAGGCACAGAGTGCCATGGAGACCGGGGTGAGACGTACAGTCCGGGATTCTCAGGACTCCATTCACACGCTTGTTCATATCTCCGATTGTCTCCGGCAGCCGTGCCCGTATCTCTTAAGGAGCCGGTAGTGGACGTGGAATATCTCCAGCGAGACTGGGAGCTATACCCCGAGTCATCAGTGCTCGATGAAGGGCTGTCGCTGGAGCAGCTTGTATTGCTGCAGGGCAGATCGAGGGCGGAATCATGATGTGAGCGGCTCGTTGGCGTTGTTGGATCTTCGCACGGTGGCTCATGATGATATCGAGCGGCGAACAAATCGATTTCGCGATCTGGAGCGTTGATTGAGGTTCTCGCCTTGCCATCGAAATAACGATGAGCTTTCGCGTTGCCGGCCATGCTTCCTGGATGTTCACTCGGAGAGTCTGAATCTTCTACGACAACACGAAAAAAGGTGGCAGATCCTGTATGTTCTATTCGACAGGATCAGCATGAAGTCTTCTGCTTCCGTCCAGAAAATGACCCCATTGCCTTCCGGGCGGCCCCTCTCGTCGCAAGGCTGCTCCGACTCCATCGCAACTCGCACGCAACTCGCGGAAGCCCTGCAAGCAGAAGCAGGCCACGCCCTCAGCCCCAGCTCATCCATCAGACTCCGTACTTCACTGCTTGCGGCCACGAGTTGCACGCATCCACTCCTGCCCGACCTGCCACGAATACTGTATTCTCAGAGGGCATGTCAACTCCCTCCGACTCGATTGCATGAGCTCGAAGACTGTCTGGCCATCGCGAGTAGTGTTGTGCAAGTAGCCAGAGCGAGTTCTGCCCTTCCCAAACATGAGTTACCAATTGGGGCACAGCTGTCTATTATGTTTCGTGCATGGCGATAGTGTCTAGATCGGAGACAAGTGGTCGTGTATACTTCGATTGGCTACAATCGTCAAGAGGTCACACTAATAAGGCTGCAGCTAAGGCCGCTTCCCTGCATAGTCTCAGCTGTATTTGGAAGCGGGTAAATACTCAAATGGGACACATTAGCATAGTAATTACTCGGATGGGATCGGATTAGCAATATTGGCTAGCATTTCTTAAATGGGAATATTCTAGTATATTGGTATAGACATTGGCATAGTAATCACTCGGATAGTAAACATTAGCATAGTAATTACCTATACAGCATTATACTATTTTCATTAATTTCTATATTTATAGAGCCTTGCTAAGTGTATAGAAAAGCGGCAAAGAGAATTACACTCCAAGTAGTATACTCTAAATATCTTCTAACTAGGTACGTAGGTAGTAGATAGAAGGATATTACTAGGGAGTAGGGGAGGGAGTTAGGGAGTAGTATATAGGACGGGTAGACATAAGAAAGAGATCTAAGACATTTATATATCCGTAGCGAGTATCTATAAATATACAAATTCTACCGATACTAACATCCTTCTACTTTAGCCTAGTTAGTACTTAAGAGATATTATCGAAGCTAGCGGCAAGTAGTCTACTCTCTCGAAGGCCTAGTAGTAGCTACGTATACGCTAGATATAGTAGAAGTCGTTAGTCGAGTATTAAGAGGATGTCGTATACTATTTCTATATTCGTAGCCGCTCGCTACGAATATAGAAATAATATATTATTTCCGTTATAAACCCTATATATTAACGCCTGCCTTTACTTTAAATAGGAAACTCAATCGACCCGTTTCCCTTTAATCGTTCGTTCTACTATTGTTATTAGTTAGTAGGGTTAGGTACGGTTATATTCGGGTAGAACTTACTTACAACTATTGTCGTATAGAGCAACAATTACTATATCTATAGTAGTTGCTACTAAATACAGAAATCCTAATTACTTTACTCGAGTAATATTACTTCGCTATAGCCTATAGCTAATTACTAATCGCCTAATCTAAGCGTAAGCCCTATACTAAGCCTTACTGTTATATTAATAATAGAATAATAGCGATAGGACTCTCTCGATAGTATAACTTTCTACCGTTTCTTCTTCTTCCTCCTCTTCCTTTCTTTCTATAGATATCGTATATACCCTCTTACCCTTGCCTACGACAATACCTTATATATAAGAACTACGTTAACGGTATAGAAAGTAATATAGGCGGCCCCTTCTTCTCGCCTACGGGTACTAGTTACCCTTTCTTTAGCTAGGTATAACTAATCGCTCTTTATTAAAAGCAAGAAATTAAGGACTAATATACCCTTAGAGCTCCGACGCCTACCGCCGCCGCACTAGCCGCCGCGCTATCCTATAAGTTTAAGTTTCTAGCTATTCGCGAGTCTAGAAGACAGTTATACTAATCGCTTACTTAGTCGCCGCGCCGCCGAGCATTTAGCTGCCGCCGCTACCGCCCGCCGCTTAGTTAATACTACTCGGTTCCGGGCTGCGCTCCTACTCCTACGCTAGCGCCGCTAGTAGTAGCAGTAGCAGTAGTAGCAATAGTAAGAAGAGTATAGACCTATCGAGTTTATTCGTTAAGTTCGTATATACTAATAGTCTATATAGCGACTAAATTATAGTCGATACTAGTAGTAACGACGAACAAGTCTTATAAGTTCTAGCTTTCTTTCTTCTATCGATTGTCTAACTTAGTTAGAGCTTATTATTCTAATATATCGATATATAGGTAGAACGACGGCTATATCGTCCTACCGCCTAGCGGTAAGGAAACTCTAATATATATCTAATTTAATTAACTATTTAAGCTTTATAGTATACTAACCTCGGTATATAGTAACGACGACGACGACGACGACGATAATAAGGCTAGGCCTCTCCCTCCTATTACCTCCCTCTCTCCCTCCCCTCCGCCTACTACCGCTGCCCTACCTGCCGCTACCCCGCCTACCGCCGCCGCCTTTATACTAATCGTCGCGCCTTCTAAGGCACTAACCTTCCTAGGTAAGACCCTAGCCGACCGCGCTAGCACTAGCACTAGTACTAGCACTAGTACTAGCAAGAAGCGCCGCGTTAGTCGTCTAGCGAAAGCTAGTAGGAATGTTATAGTACTTTGCCGCCTAATAGCCGTTAATTAGTAGTAGTCGGTACTAGAGAGTAAGTAGCTTTATATATTAATCGAACTAGTATATATTATGCTCTTGCTAATAATATCTTAGTATTCGAAGGCCGCTAGAAGATCTAGTCGCATATCGGCCGTATTATAGAGATCGCTAGCCGCCGCCGCCGCCGCCTATATCTCGAGTATATTCGGTCGGGCCTTAAGTGCTACGAATACGCGACCGATGCCTTCGGCAAGTATCGCAAGTATACCTACTACATTTAGGCAAATAATCCTTATATAGATCGCGCGTCGCCGCCTTGCCTATCGTCGGATAGCGAGGATAAGGATAATAATAATAATAATGTTAATAATAATAATAATTAAGCGCTAGGTTCTTTATTTCTTTTTTTTTCTTAGTTTAGCTAGTTATAGGTTCTCGAGGCTGCTTTGTCGAAAGACGAGGTCGTAAGACCTCTATAGCACATTATAATAGCGCGCTGCTGCGCTATTTTAAATAAAAGTTTACTATCTAGCGCTAGCCGCCGTTGCTACTAATCGTCGTATCCTCTCTCTCGTCTGCTATTATAGTTAGCTAGTATAGGCTATACTGCATTCCTTATTACACATCTAAGCAGCGCTAATTCGATTGAATTTCTGTATTTAGTTAGCTATATACCCGCTAGTGCCCGCAGTTATCGACTAATAGCGAATTTCTATATCCGTAGGAAGGTAATTCTTGTCTAGTATTTCTAGACCTATAGCTATTATATCTAGTGCCGCTACTACCTAGACTTGTTACTTAGCTCCTAATCTGCTACTAGTTGTCCTAATCTTAGGCTATAGCTGCTCGTAATCTAGTTGCTTGCTACTTGCCCCTCGATATTAATACCGATAGTTTGGATTTTCCGTATTTATAATGTCTCTACTACAGATATAGAAAATCCAAACACGTTATTATTATTGCCTAAGGCGATACTACGCTAGTAACTATTTAACTATCCCTTTTTCGAGCTCTTTTAAAAAGAGCACTAATACTCTCCTTCTTAGTAGCAGTCCGAATATTAGTGCGCTAAAACCGCTCCTCTAGGGATGCCTTATCGCTAAACAGCGCAGCTATTATACTACGGTATTGCTCGTTAGCTAGGAAGATATTTATCTCTATATTTAGCGCAAACTATATAGTCTAGCCTTCTTGTTCCTTATATAGGAAGCCCTAGGCGTCCTTTGTAATACATCGTCGTCGCTTAGTACGTACGCTACGGGTATCTGTCGCCGGTAGCTATATAGGATATTGCTAGTATATACTAGTTATCCTAACGCTAAGACGACCTACAAACTTGTAGATATTGCTATATACCTCTTTAACTAAGCCTAGCTTTAAGTCTATATCCTATTCGTCTATCTCGTATAATCTATATATATCGTCGGAGTTCGAGTTCGTATATAGTAGCCCTACGATTATATCGGCGAATGCTCTTTAAAATAATAAGGCTTCCTCGTCGTCGGTAGGCTCGAGAGATTAATAGCTAGATTCTGCCTTATATTAGATATTCCGCGCCTATATAACTATACGGCCTACGTTAGGAAAACAACTAAGGACTATAAGCTAGCTTAATACTATACTACTATATAGGTTGACTTAGATCGGGAGTAGCCCTCTCTAGATTCTCTCGATATAAACTAGTAGAGGGATGTTATCGCGTATTATATTATCGTATAGATATTTAAATTCTTCGATAGTAGTCTTTTTAATAATACGCGTACCGTATTTCTGTCCTTGCGTAGACTTTGCCTTACTAGATATATAGGCTATAATAAAGTGCTCGAGCTATAATCTAATGCTTACGCTTAGTAAGTCTAGTCGCCGCTGTACTATGTTCGCTACTTCGTCTATAACCCTTTAATTATAGATTCGCTCTTCTTCTTCTTTTTACTATCGAGCTCGATATTCTTCTATAGATGTTTGCATTTTAGCTATATAGGCTTCTCTACGGGCTTGTATCTAAGCCTCTAACTAGGCTACCCTTGTATCTAACTCGGTATCCGCTTATAGCCTCTTAGCCTGTTTCTTCTTAATAAGTAGTTTATTAGCTTCGGCCTTCTATTGCTATATAACGCCTACTTTCTTCTCTACTTGCGTTAGCTTAGTAAACTTGTCCTCTATAGTAAAGCCGAGTCTCCGCTCGTTTTCCGTAATTATAGCTCTAGTATCCTCGAGTGTAAAATAACATCTCTAACTTCGAGGGACTACTTAGACACTAGTACAGGACGCTGCTATACTCTGTTGTACTATTGCGGCGCGAGTTATAGTAGTTGTCTTTACCCGTTTCTATAGGCCTAGACTAGTACTAGACGTATATACCTTTCGCTTCTTCGTAGCATTCTATAGACGGACTATTAAGTATCTAGTTAGCTTCTTCTTAGTAGTAGCATAGAACTTGTCTATTATCGCTACTAACCTCTGCTAAGAAGTAGCTATCCGGCTAATTCCCGACCGTACTATCTCTAGCCCTGCCTCTTCCTCTTATTATACTACTCTCGTCGACGCTTATTTATTTTGCTGCCTAACTTTGTCGAACTGCTTACTCGTAGACTTACGGGCCTTCGTAGCAGTAGCTTAGTTAAGCTTCTTCTAGCGTTTATTCGCTTTAGCTACTACTAGATCTTAGTCGACTTATATAGGAGGAATGCCTTTACCGATAGAGATACTAGACTCGGATTGCTAGAGGGCTTTAGCTATAAAGCGATCGCGATATGCCTATATATCTCGAGCGGTTATAGCCTTAAATTGCTTTAGTATACGTCTCGTAAACATTGTATCGTTATCCGAGAAGTAATCCTTATCTTTACTAGCCTCTTATCTAAGTTCCCTACGCGCTTAGCGGTTAGTATTGCTTATATTAACTTCCTTTCGGTACCGCTAGATATAGAAGTCTACCCTATTATAGATAATAGATTGCTCGAAGCTAGATAATCGTAATATCTCGTATCGGATACTATCCTTATCGCTCTTGTTACTACTTAATAGCTTGCCTATACTATAGGTGTTTTCTTCTTCTCTATTGCTGCTACTACCGCTGCTATCGCCGTTATCGTCTAATTCTATAATATATAGCGTACCGTCGTAGTTAATCCGCCGTCGTTTAGGTTGTTTACCCTTCTGTTTACGTTTGTCGCTAATAGGATGCTCGCTAGTCCTACGCCGCGCGTATATCTTCTTTGTATAGCCCTTGCTATCGAGTCTATACTCTTTGCAAATAGAATACGTCTTTGTAGGCCCGGCCTTCCCGCTTTTAGACCTTAGCTTACGCTTCTTGCGCTTACGAGCCTTCTTAGGTCGACCCTTAGTCTTTACGAGTAGTAGAGGTTTAGTAATGCTATCGGCTGAAATCTAGTTATATATTATTAGGTATAGGATCCCTAAGTAGGTGTCGAGGTATAACGCCTAACTATACGCTTCGTGTATATAATCTTCTAGGTCGTTCGAGATTAAAGGCTCGTTCTTAAAGTAGCGGATAGCGATATACGTATATTCGTACGGCATTCGCCTATCCTAAAATGCCTTATAGCTATATGTTCGTATATTAAGATCAACGATGTAAGACTCTTTCGATGCGCTACTCTTAATTACTACCTTACTAGCTACCGTTAGTAGACAATTCTACCTAGAGCGCGATTTGTATAGGTATCGCTACTGTTCCTCTCTATAGTAGTCTAACTAGCGAATTAACCGGAAAGTACGCTGCCGTCTTTCGTAATTCTCGACTATTAATCTCTCCTATATTGCTTAGTAATACTAGAATACGGTTATCTCGCGCTCTGCTAGGAATTTGTTGTTTATAGACTCGGAATTGTTCGAAGTTAGGTATCTAAACCGAGGGTATTCCTCTAGTAGGGCGTAATATATTGTCTACCGAGACGTATTAATGCTTTCGAAGTATAGCTCGAGTTCTACTACCTCTCTAGCCCGGCCCTTGCGCTTTTCCTATAGTATCTCGTATAGCATTGCTAACTTCTTAGCCTTAAAAGGAATCTCCGTTGCGATCGTAGCGAGGTAGCGGATAGCATTTACGATCGCAGGGCCGAAATGCTCCTCGAAGTTCTCTACTAGATGCTATATATAGTAGTAGTAATGTATACGACGCCTACTATATACCTTAGTTACTGCAGGAATTAAGCCTTTCTACCGATCGCTAATAAGGGCCCTATATTCTATAGTAGACATTTCGTCTATAATTTGCAATTGTTCCTTAAAGTACTTAAGAAACTAGGACTAGGTTTCTTCTAACTCGGAACGTAAACAGCACTATACTATAATATATACTTGGTTCTTAGCGTTAATGCTAGCGATAATAAGGATAACGCTACCGTATATACTAGACATATAGCCACTATTAAGGGTAAGTAGCTTACGCAGATATCGAAAGCTACGTAGGCGTACGTATAGGAATATAGCAGATACCTAATGTCGATCCTTATAGTCTGTCTATAGAGTATAGAAAGCTCTAGTATATATATTGTCTATACCTTATGTTCTATCTATTGCGTTAAATAGTAGTCTAATCTTCTGCTACGACTCTTGCTCTAAGCTAACAAGTTTATTCAAATACCGTCTCTTTATCCGAAATGCTTATATATAGCTAATCTTATTAAGATACTAGTTCTACTCCGCGCGTTAGAGTTAATTTAGTGCGAGTCGCTAATCGGCAGTAATAGCGTCGATATAGTACTTAAAGAGTAGACCTACTCTATAGTTCCTCGGATTCTTATAGTATATTGCTAGAGAGCATTCGTGTTCCTTAAGGACAAATACCTAGACCTCCTTTCCGTCGACCCCCTTCCTATTATAGCGGAGTAAGACCTTAAACATATATTAATTCCGCCTATCTATATCGGTTATATAGTACTAGCGATTGCTTAGATAGACGTACTCTTTGCGGGTTAGCTTAGATAATCTTGCAAATGAAGCCTAACCTCTCTATACTATATACTAGTCGAATGCCTTTACTATAGTCTATATATCTAGATAGTATTAGTCTTAGGCAAGTAGAGGAGGGGCTAAGCCTCTAAGCGTCGACAGTGTATTTATACTCGTAGGAGGGAAGTATTCTAGTGCCGGGATTAGCTCGTCTAGTCGTAGGGTTAGTAGCTGTTATAGTTATCGCGTTGTTATAATAGTAACGAAGTGTACAGAGGACGCGACATAGTTATTTAACGTATTTAATATAGAATTAGGTAAGAATTAGCCTAGGTCTTAGCTAGCCTACTACTCTATCTCCTCTACCGTGTTCGTATCCTTCCTATAACGCCGATACGACGCGCTAATATAGCTAATAACGCGCCGAAAGCTATATCGACAGTATCGAGATATACGATTACAACCCTAGAGCTATTACTATAGGCCGAGCTAGCTAATTTCTACCTAGCGCTACTATTAGCATTATTCTACCTTAACGCAGTGTTTCTAGACTAGACGCATACTATAGATACACTCTACCGAGATATAATTAGTATATAGGAATATAAGGAAGCATTTATTGCTTTATACTAGACAGGTCTCGTCTAGAGATTCGTATACAAACTAGACTCTAATTATGCGATAAACATTATCCTAGTAAAGTAGGAAGACGGCGTCCGGGTCGTCTATTTTACGGATTATTCTTCTTCTTGTATAGCGGTAGCAGCGAGTCCTCGGTGCCCGAAATTCGTACTAGGTGCGATATACGTCGATATAGTCTAGGTATATAATGCCTTTATCTATTAGGTTATACTTCCGAAGGGATAGGCGAACACGACGGAAATATATAATATAGCGCCGCGGAGTATTTTATCGCACCTAAAGCTTAGATATAGCCGATCGAAGGACTATATATTTCGTATTATTATCCGGTATTAATACGAATACGAAGGGAGTAGTGCTAAAGTTCGATAGTTTATAGAGTATATATATAGAGTCTAAGTGTTATATAAGTAGGCGAGGCGTAGCCGAATTTCTATATTCTAAGCGACTTACTATAAATATAGAAATCTATAACTCGACCTAATACTCGGTCCTAGATTATACCTAAACTAGTATCGTTATATTACTAACGATAAAGCTAAATCGGCTTTAAGTAAGCGCAAGCAAGCGAGGCGTAGCCGAATTTCTATATTCTATACAATTAAAACTCGATATAATACTCGGTCTTAGATTATACCTGAATTAGTGTCGTAATATTACTAGCGACAAAGCGGAACCGGCTTTAAGCAAGCGCAAGCAAGCGAGGCGTAGCCGAATTTCTATATTCTATACAACTTGCTATAAATACAGAAATTTAAAACTCGATATAATGCTCGGTCTTAGATTATGCCTAAACTAGTATCGTTACGTTACTAACGACAAAGCTAAACTAGCGTCGTTACGTTACGTCCTACTATCGAAACCTAACGATACTAAGACACCGTTATTACTTAGCCGCCAACTAAGACTATAACTAAAGAGCTATACGCTAAAGCCTACGCCGACGGCAAGCGTCTTATAACTAAAGAGCTATACGCTAAAGCCTACGCCGATAGCAACTAAGACTACGACTAAGACTACGACTAAGACTAAGACTATAACTAAAGAGCTATGCGCTAAAGCCTACGCTAACGGCAAGCGTCCTATAACTAAAGAGCTATACGCTAAAGCCTACGCCGATAGCAACTAAGACTACGACTAAGACTACAACTAAAGAGCTATACGCTAGCGCCTATAAAGACCCTAACTAAGCGCAGTAGCATTCAGATTCCGTAAAGAGCAAGAGTAGAATTTAGTAAGAGCAGTATAGTTTTAGTAAGAGCAGTATAAGTTTTAGTAGGTTTTAAGAATAGTAGCATAGATTTTAGTAGGTTTTGAGAAGAGCAGTATAGATTTTATTAGTTTATTAGACAAGTAGTATAGATTCCTAGCTAGAGGACCGGGCTTTTAGTCGAGGCACTATTAGCCCTAGCAGTACTAGAAGGGCTAGCAGTGCTAGTAGTAGCATATTCGGTAGATCTCCGTAGCCCTATAGCGTAGTACATTTGCCGCCTTACTTCTAGCCCTTACTACTATACTAGCTGCCTTTAGACGGCGAAGGCGGAGGTGTCTCCCCTAGATAATTCCTCTATATCCGCCTATACTGTTCGCGCCCCTTCTACCGCTACCTCTCTTCTTCTGCTATACGCTCTCGGTTGATTGCTGCTTAGGCTTTAGCCTCCGTACCTAGACTAACTTAGGTGCCGCTAGAGCCCTACCGAACAGCTCTCTATATTTCGGCGTCGATTCGGGCTACCCGGGCCTAAAGATCTCGTATATTTAGTAAAAACATTAGCGATTCAATAGCTGTCTTATAAGGGCTGTCTTAGTAGCTGTCTTAGTAAGGGCTGTCTTAGTAAGGGCTGTCTTAGTAAGGGCTGTCTTAGTAAGGGCTGTCTTAGTAAGGGCTGTCTTAGTAATAATATAGAGTATAGAGAAGTAACGAATGCTTTATACCTCTAGAGAATGCTAACTGCGACCTAATGTTTGCTACAAATAACCTCTATACTAGCAATTAAAAATAACCTCGAAGCTAGCAGTTATAGGCATACTATTACGTATTACCTAGAGACACCGCATATCGCCTACTAGCAACTAGTATACTGCAGCAACAAACCTGCGTAGCATAGACGGCCGTATTATTAGACAACGGTAGCGAAGATATTATATCCTATAAATACAGAAATTCGCTATTAGTCGATAGATGCGGGCACTAGCGGATATATAGCTAACTAAATATAGAAATTCAATGTTAATTGAAAGCCGTAATAGCTAACCCTTAACTTCTTTAACAACAAAGGACAGTACTCGCAGTATCGCTAGCGAACGCGGAATTAGTGTATTAAGAGAGCTATACTACGGATATAGAAATTCGATTTTCAGCCGCCCCCCTATTAGTATTACTATCTATTTAACCTGGTTATATTAAAAGGGTTAAGAGGTAGGTGTTTTAGTTATATTAAGAGGGTTAAGAGGTAGGTGTTTACTAGCAGCGGATGTTATTAAATAGCCTATACCTTATTATTAGATAAAAATACAAGAGGAGGTATAGATATATCTCTAACTCCGCCGCCTTCTTTATAGCTAACTACCGCTGCCTCCGACAGCTAACGAACTACCGCCGCCTTCTTTATAGCTAATATAGTATTAGCTAGTAACCGGCCCTATACCTATAGGCTAGTTTTGAGCCTATATAAGAGGCCTCCTTCTACAGAGTAGACAGATTACTAACCTCGTATAGCATATTGTTTATGTTACACTTCTATAATGCCTATGTTATAGGGCTCTAGTTATTAGCCTAAGCGATAGTCTCGTTATCCTATCTTGCTAAACATAGCTGCCCGTATTGCTATAGGTTATATTACCCTTAGTAGCCTATACTATTGCTATAAGTAGTAGTAGTAGTATTAGTTTCCGTCCTTTATTAGAGCCGAAGGTAGGGCTATCTCTTTATATCTAATAGGTTCGGGTGTGTTAAAGGTAGTCTCTAGGCACGAATAGCTATAACCGAAGCGAGGGCACGATAAGAGCCTACGATACGGACGATACCGAAGTATCTTAAGGGGCTATTACGACAAGTAGAGAAACCTCTTAACGAGGGCATCGCTTTAACCCCGAAAAGCTGCAAACCCTTAGGACTGTTACAGCTTAGGGCCTAGTCTATAACTATAGCTAGCTTCTAAGGACTCGGCTCCGGGTCGAAGACCTATTTAGTACCGCTTGCTCGAGATAAGCTACCGCCCGCCTAAGGAGGAGATAGATTAATTACCTATCGGCCTTGCTTAGTTTACTAAGACTATCTATACGATAGCAATTTCTAGATTATAGGTCGGATACCTAGACAGTTCCCCTATTAACCGGGTAGATTGTTTCGGGATTCGCTGCCTCGTTCGGATAGTGCTTAGCCTTCTACTAGAAAAAGAAGGTCCCTACCCCCCGCCTAGCTAAAGGAGATAACGATAGTTAGTAAAGTAGCTAGTTTCTAGGATCTAGGTATAAATAGAGATTGCAGTTCCTTCCTCCGAGCGGCTTTTATCTAAATTTACTAAATTGAAGCTCCTAGGGGTGTCTAGGCGACCCCTAGGAGGCTAAACTCTAATACTACCCTAGGGGTAATATTAGAAGAAAACAGCCTAGTATACTATTTTCTCGTATAGCAATATCGAAACAAGCTAAACCTACAATATATACTAAAAACACTTTCCTATAGCATTTTATTTTAACTACTTTATAATAATCGAATAAGCTCTAGCGAAAGCGAGTATTACGAATTAGCGGAATCTTCGGAATCTAATAACCTACCGGACCCTATTAACGAAGAAATCAGGCGACGACCAGTTGTTATAAGCGCTATCGAACTAGGGGCTATCGAGCCTTCTACGCCCGAGGCTCTCTATAATGTCGTTATAAAGATAATTTAAGGGCAAACTAACCTTCTCCGTTAGAATAGGCGTCGCCCGCTAGAGCCGGGAAGTAGTAGGAACCCTTTATTCGAAGGGTAGAACGCTACGGCGTACGTAGAACGCTTTAAGAACAACTTAACCGAGTACGGACTCGAAGAGGAGTCGGACTAGTACAAGGTCCGGTCCCTTACGAGGACTACTATTACTAAGCTTTACCGAACCCTTAGAACCCTAGTTAGCTACCTAGAAAAGGACGACAAGTCTAATACCGACTAGGAGGTCTTTAAATAGGCCTTTATAAGGGAGTATCGGGATCGCGATAGCCGTCGTATTAAAGGCAGTCGTACGTAGCTTAAGAACCTCTATATAGAGAGGCGCACTAAAGATAACGACCTAAAGGAGTATATCCGCGAGTTTATTAAGTTAGCGGACGGCATTAACTAGTAGGACCTCGAGAATTCTTAGAGAACGAGGCTACTCCTTAAAGGATTACCGTAGTCTATAGCTAAGCGTGTCTTCCGTTGCTACAAGCTTAGCGAAGCTAATCCCGAGACCTTTAGGAAGTATAAAGAGGTTCTAGAGGCTGTTAAGGACGATATTAATAGCTCCGCCGATGCGAAGAAGTTCATTTACAGCGAGGATAGGAATAACCTAGCTTAGGTAAAGAGCGACGCCTCGGGAAGCAGAGGACCTAAGTTCCTTCCTAAGTCGTAGAGCGGTCCTAAGACCGTAACTCCTACTATTACTAAGCACTCTTAGGACGTTACGGACTTAGCTAAGTCCCTAGCCTAGCTTAACCTTAATGCGAAAGCACTATAGCGAGTTAGGGAGGTTATTAATACTAGTATACTAAAGGATGTGCTACTAGTCTACTAGATTTCCGATCCTAACTACCCTAAGGCCCCTTTAGTTAACGTCTACGCTATACGAAAGATCTATTCTAACTTAGATAGCAAGTGCTAGATATACGGTAGTTTTAAATATGTTTAATTAGACTACCCTATCTAGAAAGAGCTTCTTAAGAGGAAGCTCGTTATATAAGTAAATAGTCGGTTCTACTATACCGACACCGGCGATAAGATTAACTTCGAGTAGGATCGTAGAGCCCCGAAGCTGCCTTAACTTAGGAGTCTTCTAGAGAAGAAGTATAGTAGCAAGATCGAGTTTAAGGATACTAGGAATAGTACCCTCGCCGCTATTGCTAAACGAGAAACTTAGAAGGTTAGGGCAAAATAGGTTAAGGAGCGGAGCAGTAACGGTACTACTAAGCCTATTAAAGTTAACTTTGTGTCTTAGGACCCGGACGCAGTTACTAATGTTTACGCGGTTACTAAGAACAGTATAGATGTCTACGCTACTATAAGGTCCTAAACTCAGTCGTCCTAAACCTAGTCCTAGGGCAAGGGTAAGAGCCCGTAGAACCCTACCCGCCCTAGTGCGGCAGCCCCTACTAGGATACTTAAGAAGCAGGCAGCTAATAAGGCTAAGAAACAGCGAGAATCAGTCGCTAAGACTAAGACACTCTAGATAGCTAAAGACCGTGTAACCCGAGCTAGTATAGCTACTCCGGAGGTCCTAGAGACTCTAGATATCGATATAGAGGATAATACTACCGACCTTAGTAGTACCCTAGGCCTAGCTAACCCGCTAGCCTACAAACGAAAGTTAGCCGACCTAAAGAGCTTTCGCTTTAATAGGTATATAAAGAAGTATAGTGCCGGGCCTACTAACTCTTACGATATAAAGGCAAATGCTCTCTTCTAGGCTTTATAGTTCCTAGACCTTAAGTCTAACGTGTCTATAGGAGAGCTTCTAGTATACGGTTTGCCTACTAACCTGTTCTAGAGCTAGATTCCTAACGATGCTACCTTTATAAAAGACCTTATAGCCCTCCGACGCAAATAGAGGCGAGAGGACTATATCGACGTCTCTTCCCTATAGTTCCTTCCTAAATTTTTAGGGGCTAAGGAGTTAGTAGAAGGCGAATTAGTAACCTACGAGAGCTAGGAGACTATCGACGATACTAACGAAGAGGGGATTAAGGAGATAGGCCGAGGGGATAGTAATAATACCGACCCTACTTCGGTTTTAGTTTCTATTAAGGCTATCCGATTTACTAGCTAATAAATCGGTCGAGCGGGACCTCCTCGACCTAAGGAGCTTTACTCTATCCCTAATAATATAGACCTTTCCGTAGTTACCCGTTCCTTCGCCGTCGTTCCTACTATCTATATTTAAGTTACTATCGGAAGCTATAGTTAGTAGTTGCTAGCAATGCTTAATAATAGTTTAGAGTCACTTATTATAAGTAAGCGCTAGGCTAAACAGCTCCGACTGCTAATAAACAGAGATATTTCCCTTAGTATATAGGGAGTAAATAGGGAGGTTGCGCTAGTAGGTACCTACTATAATGTTATAGTAGACGCTTTCGGCATATACTTTTCCTTTACCTTCTAAATTGCCGCTAACCCGAACACGCTAATTATTCTAGGTCGTCTATAGTCTTATATAACCCGGGGTGTCTAGTACAACTACGACGATAGCTCCTAGGAAGGAACTATCGCTAACTAGAAGGGTAACCGAGTCGTATTTACTAGTTATATCGGAAACACTAGCTACAAGTCCTATAAGGATATCCTTGCTACTTCTAAGCGCTCTTCGGGAAACGCTATAGCGCGGTTATAAGACCGGCAATCTACGCTATAAGTTAGTATAGCTTAAATAGGTTATATCTAGAGGTGCGCCGCTCCGTACGTTAAGGCAAGTTTCTAGGCTCTATACTAAGGAGGCGAATGCTCGAAGCGATAGCGAGTATAACAACACGGCAACGATAACCTAGTATACGAATCTCGGTAATAATGCTATCGCAATTATCGCCGCCGGAAGCGGATCTACCCGAGCCCGAATCCGAACTAACTAATTAGAGCGCCGATCGAATAATACCCCGGGAGTGTTATTAGGAATCTAACGTTTTCGCCGGAATTATAAATTAGGACTACTAGCTATATACCTACCGACTTAAGGAGACTTCTAATAAAGTTTACGCGCTGTTCTATTGCGCTAATCTCCGGGCCTAACGTTAAAGGGAGAGGGCTCGGGTATTACGAGCGGTTAGTATATATACCCTATATAAGAGGGTAGCTAACAAGATTAAGCCCGTAAAAGGCAGCGTATATA